GAGTTCCAGGACAGCCAGGATTGTTATACAAAAACCCTGTCTCAAAAAACCAAACAGGAAAAAAAAAAAGTAGGTTTCATCACTAGCCTTTAATTTAGGTGACTCCTTGCATCTCTGTGATTCCAAAAAAACCTGGCCATCACTTCTCACCCCCAAAATCAGAGCAACCCCAAAACTCACGGCTGCCTTTTCTGGCTCTTCTGACCTATAATAAACATCTTAAGATGTTTGTAAGTCCTCCCAGACATGTGCCCCATGACTCACTTGGTCACAGGGTACTCTGCAGGATCCTGCAGGATGTGTTGGTACCCATCGTCAGGACTGACTTAAAGACTTCTCTCCTGGACAACCACTGGCAATGCATTAACAGTTTTCCTTTCCAGCTACCCTCATACCAGAACTGGAGCCGGCTCTCTGCTAAACGCCTCTACAGAGAGAGCCACTCCCGGCCAATGGTTTTTGGCTTCTGCCTTTTATTACACTCCTTGCTCATTTAGATCCCTCCTAAAAACAAAGACTGAGAGGGAAAGAGCAAATCCACTCATTTAAATATTTCTAGTTTGGGGAACACCAAAATAATTAATTTTTTTATAATTTTAAAAAAGCTCGAAGGAGCGGAATGTCCACAGGATGGAAGCTAGACTCTCTGCTAGGTGTCATGCTCCTTGACAACAGCAGATGCAACACATCCTAGGACAGGCGGATTCTATTTACTGCCATTCAGCGGAACCCAATGCCAGCATGCTCGATTCAATCAAGGACTGCTCAGGTATGCTATGCCCATCTCAGTCTCATCATTGGCTTGTCTGTGTTTGAACTGCCAAGGGCCCCCATTTCATCCACTTGCCTGGTATATAATCATTGGCTTGTCTGTGTTTGAACTGCCAAGGGCCCCCATTTCATCCACTTGCCTGGTATATAATCTATGGAGTACACAGAGGGAAAGGAGGGGGAGATGTTATTATATTAGGTGGCAAGCAGGTTTCTCCTGAGTACAATGGGCCACGCTTCTAAGTCAACTCATTCTTCATAGACTCGGACCTTTTCTTTCCTCTTTAGAGCAATGTGTACACTAATGGGCTGTAACTGGTTAAACTCTTACTGGAAAGGCCTGGAAAGCCATGACCAAAGGAGTCACATGACCAGGACGGTGCCACTGCTCTGCTAACACTGGTTTCTAAAAAGATGTTAGTCATATTGAGAAGGAAAATGTCTGCACATTTGAACCTTAAGAAAGGATCTGACTGACCAGGGCAGCTGTGCTAAGATGAGCTACGCTGAGCTGGTTTATTTAAACACAATTACTAGTAGACCAAGAATACCAGGCTCTTTTATCTTTTCTCGCACTCTCAAAGCCAGATTACTCTTCTGTCTTTTTCCTTGCTCTCTTTCTCCCCCCTCCAAAGCATGCAGATAGATATTCCCCAAAGTGGACCCAGCCTTTCCAATATTTACAAAAACATAGTTTAAAGTGATCAGAATTGTATACTTCAACATTAGCTGGAGAACATGCATAACTAATATGGCCTAATCATATGCCAGCGATAAAACTTGGGCAAAACTCAATCAAATGGAAGAGAGCTACTTGGATGAAAATCTATGTTCCTATTAATTTTCAGCTAGAAACAGATGGATGTAGCTAAAAACGGTTGATGGGCAGAAAACCCCTACGAAGGAATAAATGATGGGCAGAAAAGAAGAGCGTGGCTGACCAAAATGCGCATCCCCTTATCCTGTCCATTTGCAGGCAAGCCTGGGGGCCACCATCTTCAGGGGAAGCCAGAACTGCACTCAGACAAGCCCAAGAACGAGCCATACCTGGGGAGCACGACTGTGTATCTCACGAATCTACATTTCATAGGCTGTATCCACCCACCTCCCCTGTCCCTTTTATGCAAATAGGCTTTATACTGGAAATTTAGTTATGAAAAGGCCACCATAACAATTGGGCACATGAAAAAACAAGGGACATACTTAAAAAGTGCCAGCTGCCCGGGTCCTAGTGCCGTTTCTGCACATAGAGTTTCCCAGCAAGGGAAACTCCACTTCTTGAACCTCATTCCTTCTGGACCTTTTCTAGTTGGCTGTAGTCATTAGCCAGGTGTGTGGCAAGTGACAAATGCTTGTTCAGAGTCTACGGTGCTGGCTGACGTAACTCCTGGCAGCTAGGTCATTCACCGAGGAGAGCCTTTTGACATTTTACTTGACATTCGATTAAACACGCTAAACACTGATTTCGTAGAAATGAATTCTCACATCTCTAAGAGTGTAACAATTGAAAGATGTTCAAACAGAAATGCATATTAATGTTCACAAAACAAGATGTAGCTTAGTCTACACACAGTCTAAAAGACAGTTTCCATAATTTCTGATGAGATTCTAACAATGTTTCAATCCTCTCTGAATCCAGCAGTTGGTAACAGACAACAGCACGAGATAGAGAACGCTAAGAGGAAGGAAGGTTCGCAAACAAATGTTCATTATTCTAGTTCAGTCTTTCACAGACACACTGTACAGAGTCTTGTATAAAAGAGAGGAACACATCTGCTTGCTCAGTTTAACACGACACCAAACAAAGCAACTAAGCTCTGGGGAAATCAAAGGTACAAGGAAACAGAACAGTTATTACTAATTCCTCAGCTTTTTACCGTAAACATTTGTCACGTAACAGACATTGCGTGTGATAGTTTCTTTGATACTGCAAATGCGTTTGGTCTTTTCCTCGCGATGGAATACATGAAGGACCAAGTGGACCCCATGGCATCTTCAGGAGACAAACATAAGGCTTTAGGAACACCTAGCTCATCTCTATGAGTGTACTGCTCAGAAATTCTCAAAAACAAAAAATCCGGAACCCCCAATGAATGATGCTTAATTTTGGAAAAATAAAATAAATACTGTGAGGTACAACAAGTCGCACAGGAATAATAGCAGAAACATATCAACAGTTTCCTTTGGCGAATTTAACGGAAGTGAATGCTGATGTGAGCACAGGAAAAATATATAAAACATGAAAAAAATGAAAATGATATGAAAAATTGAAACTAAGGGTATTTCTAAGTTTTAGACTGTTGGGAGAAATGTTTGAGGCCATTAAATGCAGAAAAGAAATACATTCTCTTTCTATTATGTAGTTTGACAAAATACTAGTGTTTGCCCCCCCACCCCCTCCCCAGAAAAAAAAAGAAAAGAAAAAGACAACAAAACCTACTCTGCAGGCACACCCCAGCAGTTCTGGCTGCAGACTAAGTTGAGTAAATACCATCATTTAGTCAGTATGCTGTGGTAGCTGGGGCTGCCAATGTGGTTAACCAGCTCAGGCAACATGTGTAAACATCAGAAACAAAACAAAACAAAAAGGTTTTGGAGCAGTCCCCCCCTCCCCGCTTGTTCTCACTCTCAATGGCTTGGTTGCAGGCTTGCTTTCATTTCTCTCTGACAAATCCGTGTGGGGAAACACCAAACACTACACAGTGAGATCCTGTCTTCCCCTCTCTTTCTGCCGCTCGCTCGCTCCGAGAGGAGTGCTGCTCAATTCAAGTTCAGCACGTGAGTTTTCAGAGCTCCCAAGAACAGCTGCTGTGGAGGGCTTTGCATTTTTGTGTATTAGGCAGGCCTGACTTGCCTTGCTGCTGCAGAATTTGCGACAAATGAGACATACAACAGACTGACCCAGCTCAGGCTTTCTCCTCTTTTTCAAAGGATAAGGGTTAGGGCCTTGGAAATAGGTGTTCAACGCTTACTGTCTTCAGCTCTGCTCCTTTAGTGAGTAGTTCAGGCCACTGCGTCCTGAAATGGCACCCTGCCTCTACAGGAGTGACTTGGCTGTTTCACACCATGTTAATGTCACTTAACATGTATGGAGGAAGGACACAAAGCTGATTCTAATAACACTCTGCACTCAGAAGAACCGCCGCTTTTTTTTTAAAGCGGTTTTTTGTGGCCAAAAAGTTGGCCTGTGGTTATGTTGAGTGACTAATTGTATTTTCTTTTCTGAAAACTTGTGCAAAGTTGGCAGTTTTGTGTTAACACTAATACTTTTTGTTTGGCATCTGTGCCCTTTACTGACCAGGACATTTTTATACAAGTGGGTTGTTTTTAAAGGAAAGATACTCACTGAAGTATGGCGAGAGTTTAAGGACAATAAGAAGCATGGATATTACACATCCCCCTGTAGTGTATGAAAAAAAGTGCATGGCTGGACTTATGTACTAGTACGGGACATTTTAAAAACTCAGGTCTGTGCTGCGAAGCATGCCAGCACGTCTTATTCACTATATCTAACAGGTAGTAAAAACAAGACCATGGGTATTTTTTTTGGTTGCTTTTTTTTATATATATATAAAGGAAATGTGCATTAATGCTAACAAAAATGAATAGAACTAGCCAACAAACTATTTATTTCCTGCATATCTAACAGCTGGATGTAACTGTCAAAATTAAAGAAGACTTAAACAACAATCAATACAACTGGTTTACATCATTGGCCTCTCAAGGCTAAATATTTACAGGCGAATCTGCCATGCTTTAATTAAAGATTCTCTCAAAACCTTCAAGTTCACAAAAGACAACTATAAGAAGTTCCTTTTTGTTTCTTTTCTCTTTTTTCCCTTTTATTTTTTGCAGGCAACAGTCATAAGTACAACAAAATGTCTCTTTGGAGAAGACCAAGAATTATTCTATCAAAATTGGGGCTAGCTGAACACATGTGTGTGTTCCTGTGTGTGTGTGTGTGTTGAAAGGGGTACTTTCGTTTTTACCCCAAGTAAAAGATCCACCCTCTCCCAAAACTATAAAGGAAAAGAAAAAAATTCAAAAGCACCTAGTGTTTATCATTTTTATCTAAAGAAAAGAAATATGTGGGTGCACAAGTGAAGACACAGAGCTACACACATGTGCACACACGCGTGTGCCCCGCTATGGAAGCACACACTGGCTATGGCAGTTCAAACATGTAGGCCATCTGGTGAGAGCTGGCATTTGTAGTGTACGGTCTGGGACTAATCTATTGAAGTGAAGGGAATGTTTTTGTGGAGATTAGGGTTCTGACTGTGCCGATTCCGGCTTCGCACAGAGGAAAACATCATGTTACAGCCCGGGACTTTGCACTTATGCATCTCTCGCAGATGCACAGTTTTGTAGTGGACCCTCAGGGTCCCCTTGTTGCTGTACATTTTGTGGCAAATGTTGCACAGGATCCCACCATTGCTCCCAGACAAGCTGCTGAACATAAGAGATCCAGAAACTTCAGCCCCTAGGCTGCCAGGGAGGGTGGGAGCCTCAGCCTTGTGTGCGGATTCCCCACTGTCACTGGCCCCATCAATGTCATCGAGAAGAATCCCCTCGTCGCTGCCTGCATCTGATTCTCTGGAGGAGTGGATACTGCTGCTGGACTGGAGGCTGGAGGTGGTGCTCAGGTCAAGGACCATGTAGTCCTCCGCCATGCCTCTCCCATACCCATTCAGGTGGGAGTCTTCTGTCCCTGCGGGAGAGGAGGCATCTTCCCTGACATCGAGCCCCAGAGGGTGCTGGGCACCATAGATCTTCATTAAAAATTCATCCCGGAGGTCCTTGCTGAGGGAGGGCTGCGATGAGTCCAGGCCCATGTCATCGAGTTCTTTGGTCAACAGTTTACGATGCAGGTTTATGTTGGCACTGTGTCTAGGAAAACAAGAGGGAAGGGGGGAGGCGCACAGGGAGCGGGGAAGGGTGAGAAAAAGGAGAGCATTTTAAAATTGATTCAACTTTCAGTCAGCACCAAATAAGCACATTCATTCCTAATTACACCATTATAAAAGCAAGCATTCCCCACATCCTCGGGATTGAGTGCAGGTGGGAGGTGCAGAAAGGGGAACTTTCCATTGATGTCATTTTTATGAATAAACTCTTCAAGGGCCAGGATGAGTGCACACTTAGGCCCTCTTTTCTCAATGGCTGTTCCGCTAGGGCATCAGCCACAGAGGACCTCATTGCAGATGTCTTAAACATAAAGTACGTCTAGGATAATAAACACGAAACAAGGTAAAAGAATGGAGCCTCCGCTTGTCTAAATGGAATAGTCTAAATTTACTTAAAATTAGAAAAGAACATCAAACAAGTTTTTTCTAATGCAGCAAACACTGTGAAATGGCCTTCATTTTTAAAAAGTAAATGGTCTACATAATTTAGGTTTAACTTAAAAAAATCATCTTCACCACTCTCCTATATTTCATGTTTTAGGTTTAAAAAGAAGTCTCAGGAAAACAGTAACTTCAAACAGTCCAAAGATTTCTTCTTTGTGACATGAATCTTTTCTCAAACCTGTCTGAAATCCCACCCAAATCTAACAGCAAAATACATTTAGTTTTTCAAAAGATACTACATTTTTAGCAATGAACTGTCTTCATCAAATAATGCTACTTTAAGGTTTAATTCTTTAAAATATAATCTGATAAATTATTTTCTAAATATATAACCCTTGCCTCCCCCCAACAAAAAAAATCCAAAAAGATAAAAATTAAAGCACAGTAAGTTTAAAAAATAATCAAGCACAATGACAGAGTCCCTTTAGTTCATAAACAGAACCCCTAACTTTGACAAGCAAAACATCACAGAGTTTTGCTTGTACTAAAAAGGGAGCAATTCATTCCCAGAGCATCTACAGGGACCTCAGGACTTATAAAACCCAAGTCACTGTTTATCCGAAAACATTGCCTTTTGTATTTACACCCCCCATTGACTTTGAAAGCGCCCTTGGGCATATACCTCTCTCCACCTGCAAAGGCTCAGATGTTTGCCAAGTACCTAAATTGAAAGCTACCCTCCACAAAAATAAGGTGATAAAGAAACAGGGAGATAAAACTTGCCAGCACTGGAGGCTGGACATCTTAGAGACGTTAACTGTGGTGATAGAAATGACCGAAATGGTCTGCATCAAGTTCAGGAGTCCTCCTGGTTATAATCAGAAGTCTCTCCAATTGGGAACAAGGGAGGCTAACACGTCCTAGAGAAGTGTGAGAGGTATGTGCCTCCAGGGCAAGAAAGGAGGGAGAGGCTTCCCACCTTTCCACACGAGACAATCAGCACTCTGGGTTGAGGGGCGGAGGGTGGCAGCCCTCTCCACACTGCACTTGGGAAGGCTGAGCTTACCTTGTGACAATAAGATCAGCTTTCTAATCTTTTGCTAAATCGATCACAAAAGAAAGCAAGAATGAGAGACAGAGAGAGAGAGAGAGAAAGAGGGAGAAAGAGAGAGAGAAAACAAATTCACATTCTAGACATCCGGCTTTTGAAAACTTAAACAATAAAATAGGGATTTAAAATGTTGTGATCACAAAATTATTTTCTGTCATAAGTGATCATCTCATATGTTGTCTTGATTTTCAGATCACCTGCATAATCCAAAAACCATCAATCAAATCAAATACACCAAATTCACAGCATCAGCATCAACCATAAATGAGTTCCAAACAGACGCATGCAGTGTGTGGGTACATGACTGTGGATAAACAGAAGTTGTCCGCACAGGCCTGTTCTGACATTCCCTTTTCCCTGGTGGCAGGTGTCAGATAACTGTGGGTGTGGCTAAGCAGAGTGCAGAAAATGCCTACTGTGAAGTCTTTCCCATGACATGCGGGGAGACACAGGGTTAGAACAAGAAGGAACATGGAAATAGTTAAACTGTGTACCACTACTCTACTGAGAAAACAAGCTGCCAGCTGTAAGCAGTTCATAAAACCCAACCCTCATTCATTATTTTTAACACCCCACCCCCTTTCTCCGTTTCTTGAACACACATTTGACTGCAATCTAGAACTCTGCCTTGTTTCTCACACATATGCAGTTACCACTTGCTAGGTTCGCTGCTGAGAAGACAGCAGCCAGACACACAAAGGTTGCATCAAGACAGACTGAACGAGGAAGAATAAATTAACATTGACAAGAGGGCATCCGGATCACCCTGACGGACACCTCTCCCATAGGATGACTTGTGAATTTACACGTCTCCACTGATATGTTACCAGGAAGGGATCTGCTCTCCACGTCTCACCGTACAGCAGGAGAAGGCTGTAATCTAATTAGACGATGTACCAGCCCTCAATATCTGTCAACCAAACGATGTGCAGAAATGTGGAGACCAGCTCTGGCACTCCACTCAACAGTGTCCCTTTTCCGCTGTCAGCAGTACTGTTGGCCTCTGTTAATATAATTACATTGACTTTTATTCAATTAAGTGCCATCCCTCGCTTACGAAAAAAAAGCTACTTTATCAATTGATTCAGGTGTAATGTAATAATAAAGATGAACTCATGGCAGCGCATTAACTCTGCTGTTCATAACTTCAGTGCATGGGTTCATTCACGGCAGTCGATTTCCATTATGCAACCACAGTTCAAGAGAATTGATTCTTTTATGTTCATTTCTTAATCTATTTCATTTTTGTTTAATAATCTTCCCAAACGCCATATGCAAAACACATGGAGTGGGGATGAGGGTAATGGGCGGGGGAAAGCCGGCTGGTTCAGCCCCATGCCTTGGACTTGGGAGTCTCCAGACTGTCACAGTGTTGCTGGGGTGGAGAGAAGACGAGCGAGATGAGGGAAAGCGGGCTGACTGAGGTTCTTTGTCAGACACCACCGGTCCTGTTCCTCAAGCCTCTACAGAACGGACAGGACAGGAGGCAGCACTTGGTTTTAACAAAGACCTATTGCTAGGCCCGCCAATCAGTCAATTCAAACCACTGACTGTCATAAAAACACCGCCCCCATGAGATACAAAGACCTAAGGTTAAGAGCAATTTGAGGACTATTACAAGTTTAATTGGATCAGCAAAACTGAAGAGGTAAAAAGAAGAAAGACAGAAAGAACTCACTACTGACAATCAGATGCTGAGCAAAAAGAAGCCCAGGATGGGAGGGAGGGGGCAGTGTGATGTAAACAGGGAGACCACAGCATAAGGATCCATTACCCAGAGATACACAAGCATTGTTCAAGAGCGAGATATCTAGTGTTCTGAACACTTACCTTGAAAAAGAAGGAAGACTAATAATTAGCTAAAATTTAGACTAAATAAGAGCCTGAGAATATAAAAAGCTGTTTCTGCTTGTTCTGATTAAGCAAATGATACAGCTACGAAGAAGGAAACTATTCTCACAAAGAAAAAAAAACAAAGAAAGAAGAAAAAGGAAAGATAAAGGCTGAGATAAAGAATTCATGAGTATGAAGGTAGGGGTTCATACACTGTTCTAAAAATTTTTCTCACACTTTCAAGACTTTAGATGAGATGTACGTCAGCCTGTGGCAGATGAGGCAGATTGCCTGGCACGCAGGAGGTAACCAATCAGACAAGCACAGACTCACAGAAGTTTTCTCACACAACACAGAGGATGGATGGTGCTGAGGAAGAAGCATTTCCCGTCTCTGTAAAATGACAGCAGTGACAGAGTGGAGAGTAAAGACTCCCTACAGTGTAAGGGACATCACAGGATGTAGGGCCAAGGCACTCGTCTCACTTGGGCTATGCATAGTTACCAACGTTTTCTGAAGTTCTAGTCTAACAATCTGCCAAAACTTAAGAGGTCACACACACAAATCAAAATGAAATAAAGCTTTAGATCCAGGGAAGGGTCTCAGTGCCTAAACTTCTGTCTTATCTGGAATGCTGAGTTAAGTCCTGTCGCTGGACCAATGCACACTACCCTGTCCTTTCTGTTTCTTGGAGGAAACCATACCTTAATCACAGAACACAGGATGCATCAAATGCTATCAGTGAACTCCAGACCCCACTGACAAGGAAAGCGAGTGCTGCGGTGGGCTTTGTTCTTATGTCTCATTTCCCCACGTGCCCAAGCGCCCAGGGGGAGCTGATGTAACACTTTACAAGCAAATGTTTGAACAAAACCAGAGTTTGAGTTAGGTTTGAAATACAGGGGAAGGACAGGAGGTTTTGTTGTTAGCTGCTTGTTCTTAAGAAAAGTCTTATGCTCAGGTTAGAAAATCAGACTGAGGCAAAGTGATGCTTAGTCTCCATCATAAACTTGCAAGTTAAAGAGAGCTGGAATCACCCGAGAGACAGGTCTCTGAGTATGTCTGGGGTGTGTCTTAATTATGCTATTGAAGTGGGGAGAGACCCATCCGCTGTGGGGTGGTACCATTCCTAGGCTGGGAATCCTGGGCTGCATGGAAGGAGACAACAGGCTGAATATGAGCCTCCACTGCTCTCTGCTTCCTGATTGGATATGGTGTGAGCAGTCCCTTCAAGCTTTTGCTGCCCTGACTTTCCCACCATGTACTCTGAGGTAAAGAAAACCTTGCTTCATGAAGTGTCTTTGCCAAGTATTTATCAAGGCAACAAAAAATAACTAAGCCAGCCAAAAACTAGTTTCCCAAATCCACTAATCAAGCTAATATGTTATATAAAATGTGCAATATGTAATTCTTAATTTCATGCCATTCCAGGATTAGTGAATTAATATCACACAATTCTTTGAGTAAAATGGAATTAAGATTTCACTTTTGTTTTTTGTTTTATTTACTTTCCTGCTCCACTCCATCACTTACCACAAATATATGTCAAATAGTCCCAAATAATACTGTCTAAAATGACCACAGTGAAATGTCTGCAGCAGACTGTGTGTGTGCAGTCATCCCTTGGTGTCATCCAGGGCTTGGTTCAGTACCAA